AAATAGTTCGTCACTTCACTTCAATTTAGCAGATATTTAAGTGTCAGTCACACTGTGGAAAAGCACAATAATGGACGGCGCACATACAAAACAGTTGAAGAGATTGTAAATTGCAACATTTGCACATTATGTGCTATTGCATGTACCTAAAGATTATTAAAGATTATTTACTAAGTTCAAATTTACTTCCAATTTGCTACATTTAGGTAAAAATCGCATATTTTTACTAATATAGTGTGCAAATTTAACTAAGGTCCTTAAATGATAGGTTTGAATCAGGGCAATTTCAATTACTGGGGATTTTTAATTTTGAGAGTGGAAATGTAGCTATTTATAAGCAGTGGCAATAAAAACAGAAGAAACATAAATGTTTTGACTACAGGTGCCTGGGGGACATGCAAAACCACTGAAAATTATTGGACTACTTACTATGGGAAAGTGCCAAGGTACTCCTGACACCATAACCCCTACAGTGTACTCTTTGGGTTATGGTTCCTATATCACCTTTTTACAGGAAGGAACAGATTGCACACACAAGCCCATCATTACATTAACACACACTTTCACACATGTGTAGGAAAGGGGGGAGCACAGAAAAGGCATTAATAAAGCCCTCTATTCTTCCACATCCTGCTCAATGACCTGAGATTAATAATATTGACCAGGTGGCCATGCAGTATGGATATGGATTTTTAATAATCTACAATATAGAAAATGGAAAAAAAGGCACTTAATGTGTCTTTTAAATGTTGTCAGTTTTTAGAATGAGATTTACATAGCTATTCACATTTGGACAGAATACATGTAGTAGTGTTATTTTCTGAAGTGAGAATTTAAGGTGAAATTAGCCAAACTGATAGAATTCTCAAATCAACTCTACTTTCAGTTCAACTAAGCGAGCCTTCAATTTGTAATTTAGTTTGAATTCACGTTGAATTCTCATTTTAGTTAATAACCCTGTTATATGTATTCTATTCAAATTTGTAACTTACTCCACGAAAGCTGTCATAAAGCAACAACTCTATATATTCAATCAAGAAGCCTAACTTAGTAAAAACATGTGCATGATTTTAATAGAGTTGTTTAATTTATTCCTAACAAAGTTGCAGAATATCATTATTGACAGACAGACTCATATTAATACCCACTAACTTCTCATTCAATGAATAATTTCAAGATCTACATTTTCCATAAATACTATGAAAATCTAAAGTGAAACTGAAAGTGAAGCACCCCTTCCCATCAGCAGCAGTACCCCGCAGGGCATCAGTGCCATAGGCATAAAAATGTGCACTTTACAACAATATCTACGACTGTATGATATTTTACTTTTAAATAAAATTTGTCTGTCATATGAAAGAACTCTGACTTGTTTGAAGTTCTTACAAGTGAAAAATTACTTTCTTTATTTCCTGCTTTTTAATATATATATATATATACTTACATGCCCGGAGCAAAGAAAATTCCATCCAAAAATCCTTTAAAGTCTGAAAACAAAGCAATATAGAATCAGACTTAATGAGTTTCAAGTTGCTCAAAGAAAAGATCGCTAGCTATCTCCACAACAAACCAATGTGTCTTTTAAGATGACTTAATCAATAGATGTCATTTTTGAAATTCAGTCTGATGGCTTTCCATTGACATTTCAGTTGAAAAGCGAACCTGAAAAGATTGAATCTGTTGTCTTTTTGTAAAGTTCAGTATGAAATAATAATAGACATTTATATTCAACACGGTGGCTGCATTTACTGTTCTATTGATTGGACCTGATTGATATGGCAGAAACGTTAATTGCAGTGAAGTGAGATTAGTGTTTTTCTAAACATTCTTCTAAACTTTTCTAAGGAAAGTTAGTTGATCAATAACATTTTTCTTAGAGCGCTGTCTTGTTTGTTATTAGTCCTTTAATTTACAGTATTATTTATATATGTATAGCACCCTTAAGGTTTGTATTGCAGAATAAAACTAATTACATTTAAAGCACCTTTTCCCTCCAAAAAATCATTGTTTTTATAGCTATGCACTTCTTCGAAACATGCATTGGTACATTTTTGTTTTCAGTCCCAATATAGGTTGAGACTTTTTTTAATTTTAATTATATCTTACTGTTCAATAGGATTTTATTTTTAACATCATATTATAACTATAAATATTATCATGCTATTTTATCTATAAAAATTAAAGAAAATGGATACATTAAAAACATTATTTGGATGGTATTTAAAATTAACATATCATACCCCGTACACTGATCAGCCACAACACTAAAACTACAGACATGTGAAGTGAATAATATTGGTAATATCATTACAATGGCACCTGTCAAGGGGTTGGATACATAAGGAAGCGAGTGAACAGTCAGTTCTTGCATATCATGTGTTGGAAGCAAGAAAAATAGGCAAGTGAAAAGATCTGAGTGACTTTGATAAGTGCCAAAATGTGATAGCTAGATGACTGGGTCAGAGCATCTTTAAAATGGCAAGTCTTTTAGGGTGTTCCAGGTATGCAGTGGTTAGTACCTACTTAAAGTGGTGCAAGGAAGGAACACCGGTGAACTGGCATCAGCTTAATGGTGCCCAAGGTATATTGAGGCACATGGGGAGCTAAGGCTTGCCCATTTGGTCTCATCACACAGAAGAGCTATTGTAGCTCAGATTACAGAAAACCTAATGCTGGCTATGATAGAAAGGTGTCAGAACACACAGTGCTTTGCGGTTTACTGCACATTGGTCAGAGTGGCCCTGATGACCCCTGTCCAGCACCTTCAATGGAGACGTTAGTATATGAACTGGACAATGGAGCTATGGAATGAGGTTGCCTGGTGTGATAAATATAATTTTATTTTAGATCAGGTGGATGGCAGGGTGCGTGTTCATTGCTTACCTGGGGAAAAGATGGCAGCAGAATGCACTATAGGAAGAAGTCAGGCTGGCAGAGGCAGTGTTATTCTGCTGGGAAACCTTTGTTCCTGGCTTTATGTGGATGTTACTTTGACATGTACCGCCTACCTAGAGATTTTACAGACCACATGCATCACTTTATGGAAATGGTGTTACCTGATGGCAGGGGCAAACGTTCAACCCTTGGCCTCTAAATTCCACAAATCTCAATCCGAATGAGCATCTGTGGGATGTGCTGGACAACAAATCCAATTCATGGAGGCCCCACCTCGTAATTTGCAGGAATTACAGGATCTGCTCTTAATGTTTTGGTGGCAGATATCATAGGACATGTTCAGAGGTCTTGTGGAGTCCATGCCTTGGCTCATCAGAACTGTTTTGGTAACATATGGGGGAATTACAAGATATTATTGAGGTGGTGTTAATGTTGTGGCTCACCAGTGTACATACTGTTTGTGGCACTTACAGTGTTGGTGCATGTTTTAGGTGTTTGCATATGGTGTTTGTTTTAGGTGTTTGCAAAGTCCTTTAATAATACAAAGTATGAGAACATTCCAAATTCCAAATTGGCATGCAAGTATGAAAAATCTGAAGCTTACACCACAAGGTCATTGGTCTTTTTATGAGTTTGAGACCATGTTAAAGGAAGACTCCAGGCACTAAAGCTACTACCACTATACTGGTCATGGTCTGCTATGCTCAGAGTAAGAAGATTGCAAATGGTTTGACAACTTACCTGGTGTCCACAAGGTGTCTGCCACCGCCTCTCCTGCATTCAGAGCTGCAAGGTCTAACTTTCACAAAACATATGAAGAATGCAGACCACATAAATTGTGATCTGATATCTCATGACATATATTTCATACACATCACTGTCACGTGCAAGTCCTGTGGTGCTGGGCCAGCTTATTGGCTGAGATAGTCAGCTGAACACTCTTAGCCAATGAGTACAGTGTGGCACTGCTGGGTTTATCTCAATAGCAGAGTTTCTGTCTGCAAAAGAGGTGCCAGCGGATGCCTGGCAGATCCTATGTAAGTTTTGATACTATTTTTAAATGGTTTTACTACTTACTCTGAGAGTGTACCAGGACACTCCTGGCACCACAACATCTACAGTTTCACATTCTTTTAACATGAAGTGAAATATAGGGGAATGGAGAACATTTTATCTTTGTCTAACCATGGCCTCTCTTCAATGCAGCTGTAAAATGTATGTATCTAGAACTCAAAGATTGGCAAGAACCCACATATTCTTTGATTATAGATATTATCTTCATGATCAGTTGCATTGAAAATTGTTAATCTCTTTTTCCATTCTGTATGTCCTTAGAGAATAGTTTCCGTGTGACTGTTAATTCTATATGCAGCTTATAAACAAAGCTCAATTCATAATGATCTCCAAAAGAGAGCAAAGACACAAGTTCTCTGGAACAAGAACATGAAATACAAATGTTTCCATAGATAAATAATGTATTGCTTTAATCACAAAAACACATTGTTTGCTAAGTCATTTTCCAAGCAGAACCATCCGATTTGTTTTATACTGAAAGTCAACAGTATTGGCTACATATTCTTCGTTAAATTTTCATTCCGTCTGTTCAGCTTTACGTTGTACTCAATAAAACCAGTGATGTGAATCTGCTTACATAACATCAATCAAAAACATCATAAATTGTTATGTTACGTCTTGATACATTTGTATTGAAAATGTGATCCGCATCTGTGGCAGCAGAAAGAGTAAATGTACTAAATTCACAAATGCTCTGTAGAGGCACTTTTCTGGAATCTCTCTCCCAAATTGCTTTCTGCATCAGTCAATAGACAGTAGTCCTTCATAACTAACATCTTGGGCTGAAAAGTGTTCAGGTGTGGTTTCTAAGAATGAAACAGTCAATGGTTTCATCTCTTCTCATCTTGTTTTAAATTATTGTCCTTATATATTGTCAACATGTCTAAGTCCTTAAATAGGAACGCATATATTGATAGAGTCAGTGCAAGGATACAGTAGTTATAGATTATTATTTAAATCCCATTCTAAACCATAAACAGGTTTTCCTAATCCTGGACATTAAATGGTAATTATCCATTCCCTTTATATTTATAACATTTATACTTTATAAATTATGAAAGTTACTGCCACCTTTGAGTGAAAAAATCATGTTCAATGTTCATCCTCCTATGTAGAATCTCCCTATTTTTCATATCCTCAGTATTGGTTTTGCAATTTTCCTCTTTTTAACAAACCTGGCTTTCCATCCCTTTATTCCCTTCACCATTTGTCCATCCTTCGAGTTAGGTTTGGTAGTTGGGACAGATGGTCCAAAGCGAATGCACCAATACGTTTGGATACCGTATGCATGCCTATGGAAAGCACATACTATTGGATTTACTTACTAAATGTTGTGCAGAATGCATACGTGTATGTTATTTTTATTTAACCTTTTTTTGATGTTATCCATAACAGGAAAGCAATATAGAATGTAAAAGGCAAGAGAGGTTACAATATACCGCAAATCTGCAAATACAACAATATCTTCAATGCACAAATTGAAATACGATGATTTTCAGCACCAACTTCAGCACCGGCCTACATGCTAAACTTTTGATTGAGTAACGTGATTTACCTAGAGGCATATTAGCTGTTAATATAATTAGTGCAAATATCGTTTTGTTGCATATTATTGCAGTTGTTCCCTTTTAAAACTGTTTGCGTGTTAAAGGCATGGGTTTGAAATATTATTATTTTTTGAGTCTGTAAAATGCATTACTTCCATCATCAATGCTGTATTTGCAGATTTTAAATGTTAATCTTCATATAAAGATATTACATGTATAAAGTTATATATAAAGTTATAGGTTAGAATGGCATGGAAAAAGCTCTTATGGGAAGAACCTAAAAAGGAACAGGTGTGACATAACAGGAATCACCCTATCTAAAATAATTAGCATTAATGGAAAACATAAGAAAAACAAAACTGTTTTTTCCCCCCGTGTGCCACACAGACCTTCTCCCACTGCTGAGGCACCTCTGCAATGGTTGATCTAATGCTCATCATAAAGGAGTATTGGAACCTGATGTGCATGCACTGTGAGCTTTCGTATGGCCTTGACATCACATCTCAGTCAGTGTTGTAGAAGTGGCCTCTAGTTGATTTCTTAAAAAAAACTGTAATGTGGTCTGGGTGACTTTAATATCACTTTAAGAAATGTATTTGAGATCATAGAGATGATAGTGATGTATAGAACCTACACAAGACCTGACATTTCCATACTATGAATTACCCTACCCAGAACCTGCATTTCCTTTTTCTGATTTCTCCTTTATAAAAATGTGTAGCCCTTGAGCAGATTTACTTAGAGAAGCAGGCTGTTACTAGGAAACTATTTGTCACTCAGTGTATAGATGTCTATCTGCACAGAGGTGTTGAAGCAAGACAAGTGACTAGTTGAGCCACTGTTGAAAATGCACATTGGATGGAATGTCAGACATGGCGCTTGAGAGCTTGTATTTGTGATTTGTCTGTTGGTTGGTATTTTCTAACAAATGTGTCCAGTATGTGTCCAGTCCACAACAAAACTAATGCGTGCAGACAATTCCATAGAAAAGACTAGAAAAATTAGACATCAAAAGGCCTCTCACAGAATTAGATGATTAGAAAAGAATTATGTTTATGCAGGAAAAAGATTGTGAACTCCCATACAATGCAGTTCAGGTAGGAATAAATTATTAGATAGACATTGACTATATTTGAACCATAAGAGATCTCTAACAAAATGATGTCCATACGGGCACGTGATACAGAGAAAACAGACACCACTTCACAGTTAAAGACTGTTGCAGTCAACAAAAGGAATTACTCTAGACGTGACATCATGCTGAGTGTCAACAGATTTCATTAACAGGACTTTTCAAAGACAAAACGGACAATTTCTGAAAACATTTGTCAGTACTAGTTTATGTATTGTTTGTGCAGTCGATCTCAATTTGAAATAAATATTATTGTGTTTAGCAGAAGCCTACTCCAGAGAATTACCTTTCATTGTCATTATCGTGTTATTGTTTGTTTCTTTGATTGCCATTTCCTGTTCCTGTTGAACTTTATTTTTGATGAGTCCTCAAAATAGAGATCTTTAAGAAAGAATATATAAAACAAATTATGTTTACATTTCAGGACTTTCAGGACAATAGTATTTTTAGCATCAGAATAATACCCACAATGACCTTTACAACATACAGCATACATGAAAATAGTCTTTAGACACTGGTCTGTGTGTTCTAAACAATGCTTGCATAGCTGTAGATTCATGGCACATCATTTCACAATTTTCCAGGCAGCACAAGAAAACCCATGGAGTATATTTATCAATTAAAGAGTTAAAAATGTGAACAAAGGATGTTATAAATAAGGTGCCAAAATAATAAGATTTGTAGGAGGTTGACTTTGACAAGGAGTGAAGTTTTCTCTGTTCTTATTTTCTCCCAGTGGACTGTTGGGGGAAGCATGAAATCTATACTCCCAGGATTTTTCATGTGACAGTGATATGTATGGAATATATGTCATGAGTGATTTTGTGACACATTCTTCCTTGATATCAGATCACAATTGCTGTGGTTTGCATTCTACAGATTCATTGTGAAAGTCAGAACTGTCTCTAGGCACCCCATAACCTTGTTTATGAGGACATATAAAATCTGTTCCTGTTCAAATATTGTTTTCTTCTGGCCATTGCTGCTAACATGTTAAGTGAGGGTCACTGAAAAAGCAAATGATCACTTCCTGTTGTAAATGTCAAAAATCACTTCCTATTGAATCATGTGGTACTGGAAGGTCTTCAGAAGTCAAATCTTTTCTTTCTGGTTTTCCACCAGGCATTATTATGAGTTACGAATAGTTAATAGTTGTTTAGTCCTATGAGGAGGCTAAAGCATTTGTAGTGTGCTTTAAGCTGGAGAACCCTCAGATACAGTTAAAGAATATGAATGCTGGGACTGCTCTCATTGTGATTTTGGAAATGTAGATACCTCGAGCAAGGGATGAGGCAGCTAGACTCGATTCTCAGGTAAACAGAAAACATGCGGGACGCAGTTAACACTAAATGTGGATGCTAGTATCAGGAAATAGACAAATAATTTAGTCTGGTTTGAAAGATGAAAGGCATTCTAGGCATTACTATGGTGTGGGGGATGACAAAGAGATTTCTCCTCTCTAAATTAAACTATAAACTAGGATATTGCCCTTGTATTAATGTATCATAGACCATATCAACCCCAGCAAGTATTCATTCTAAGGATAGTGCTTAATAGCAACGTTTCCTATAAGTGATCCTTTTCCTCATCTGTCTTGTCTGGATAACCACAGAAAACTGATGTATTTTGATTCTCAAAGAGATATTCTAAGCACCAAAATAACTTGAGCTTAATGAACCAATTTTGTTGTATAGATCTTCCCCCTGCCGTTTCACTGCTTAATTCTCTGCCACTTAGGACCTAAATCACTTTGTTTCTGTTTATGCAGTCCTAGCCACACCTCCCCTCGCTGTGACTCACACAGCTAACATGAACACAATTATTTTATTTTGAATCATTACAGTGTGTTCACGTTTTCTCTCTGTGACAGACCACCCTGTCTCTGGATTATAAAGATTTTTGCCTCATTCTTTTTTTCGGTGAATTGTGTTCACCTCTTATTTTACCATTATTTTGCTCGACCACTGAACAAATCACAGAATAACCTACCACCCATATGCGGAGTGTGCCACTTGCTGACCCGGTTAACCTCTGCCAACACCTCAGTAACCACAATAACACCAACGTTCTAACCAGTCGGCTGAGTGGCCATCAATTCGTATGTGCGAACACGTGGCAACGCCATCTTTAGCCGCGAACACAGACAACAGTGTTTGGCCGTCGAGCATATGGAACTAAAATCATACATTCGATGGCGTGAACACCGCTGGAACTTCCACCTCAATCAAAGTTCGGGAAATGGTGTGTGAATACAAGAGAGTTTGGTGGGAGCAAACTCCTGAACATGAGACACAAACTTGGCATATTCACGAATGGTACTTTATTGTATTTTGTACCCCCTAAAGAGACCGACTGCTCAGGCTGATTTTGTGGAACCCTTTTGGGCAGGCACCTCGCATGCGGTTGGTCTAAAGGCATTTTGGCTGTATTTGTGGGATATGAGCACTTTCGGGATATGTTGGGTGCTCAGATCCAGGCTATCCAGGGATATAGGACTTGAGGGGGTACTCCTCCTGGACCTGAGAGTTAATGTAATTAGTTGTGTTGTACAGAAGTTTTTTTCTCAGGTCCAGTGGGGAATGGTTGTCTCTAGCTCCAGAATCTCCCATTCCCACAGCAACATCAGGTAACTGCAATTGATTTTCAGCTGACACACTAAGCCAATCAGTATCTCCCATTAATGTAAAAAAGGTATGTACCAATGTAGCCAATCAGCGACGCCCCTGCCCGGCGGTACTCCATGCCTCCTGAAAGTCAATTGCAGAAGCCTGATGCCACTTGGCTAACAGGAGATCCAGTGCTGGAGGCAATCTTGGAGGTTAAACCATTGGAGAACAGAATACCCCTTCGGGTGAGAAAAGACCAGGGATCTCCAGGCATCATAACAACTTAATTTCAATGATGTTGTTATGGTACATAGAAAGTTCCTTTAAATTGTTTCAAAAGCTTATCTTAAAATATTAAATCAAGGCCCATGTGGACACCATGTAATGGGATAATGTACTGGGCAAAACTTTACATAGGCAAATGTGCACATTGTTGCTTTTTTCACTAGAACAGTTTACTAATTTGCATCCAGTGTACTATTACAATGTTCAACTTATTATTTCCACAAATTGCTCCACAAATATGCACTGAAGCAAAGCATTTAATGTTCCAGCTGGTTTACAACGTGCAAAGTTGGTTGTGAATCAATAGTGGGTGAATGAGCAATCATTTAACGCCTTACAGTTTCAATATTCAGACATTAGGATAGGATCTACCATGTGTTTTCTTGACATAATTTATTTTCTAATATCATGTCAAGATAATTTCACAGCTGATAAGTTTGTTAGAGAACCTTACCCAAAAGCACTTGCTGTTTCATTTCTTGTAACCAAAATAAATAAACCTTGCCAACGTCACCAACAGATTAAGCTAGAAGCCAAATGAAATGCCATTTTAGAGTCACAGATGTCTGCAGGACACGGATAGGGAATCAAAATTTACTTTTAGCCGAATGCTAAAGAAAAATCAGAGAGAATAGCTTTCAGACTTGGCAGTGACTCCTGGTGTTGTAAGAATATAGTGAGAAATGAACAG